CCTTAATTAAGAAGCAAATTGGGTCAACAAAAAAGAATAATTGTAGTTGTTCCGACAAGGATTTTGTTTTCTCAATTTATATTTCACTCAATCTTTTTTAAATTTAAATCTTTATAATTTAATTAATCAAATGATAAAATAACAAAAGTCAATATACTAATAAAAATATCTTTGAATAAAATATCTTTAAAAATGAAAAATATCTTTATAAATAAACTAATTAATTAAAAAAACTTATTTTTTGACCAACATATAAATAAAATACAAAATAACCTAATTTTTTCTCTAAAATACAACAAAAATTTAGTATATATTAATTAATTGATTATTTTCAGTATCTAAAGCATTCAAATATCTAATTCTTTTTTAATAAAAAACAATTAATAAGAAAAATTAAATAGAAAACTATTTTTTCAATATTAAAAGATTATTCAAAGATCTATTTTTTTTTACTAAAAAATATTTAACAATACTAATTTATTAAAATATTATTCTTTTAAATATATAAAGCATACTCAAAGATTTATTTTTTTATAAAAAAAATTAATATTGCTAATTTATTTATTTTCAATATATAATGTGTACAAATTATTCTATCTCTACTACAAATAATACATTTTATGATAAAACTTTCATCCAACTCAACAAAAAATCGAGGTATAATTCCAGGACGCATTATGTTTATTTTTTTAATTTTTAAATACATTCTATTGCCTCAAATTTTTAATATAACCGAGGAGAAAACTAACTCAAGACATGCTTCGAATCCCAACAAAACCCGTTTATGTTATTATTTCTTTAAAAGTGGTGTCTTTCTTTTTTTTTTTTACTTGTAAATTAATTATCTATATCTTCGGTTTCTTTAGTAACTGAGAGGTTAGATAATCAAATTTTACTAAAAAACACATTAACTAAGTTTTATTCTAAACCTAACTCATCTATAGCCACTTCAAACTCGTACCCATCATCCTTTGGGTATTTTTAATTTAAAATATAAACATATTGAAATTAAATCCCATTTTACAAGAGATTATGTTCAGAAGGGTATTTTTAATTTTAATTTATAGGTAGAGACCATCAATGGGTTGTTATCTTCACAAAACTGCTTTCTAGAGATATATTCGTTTTTATTTTTAAAAAAATTTAAAAATGGATTTTTTTTTCGAGAATAAAACCACAATGTGCATACCTTCTGGAGAAATTTTCTTGTGCTCCAATTGACAAAAGAGAGATAAATTTTCTTAGTCTTTAAGCACATCTCCCTAGATTTGACTGCTTTTGATTCTCTCATATGCTCGTAACAAGATTGGACCATCTCGAAATTTAAAGGGATGTTATCGATCATTATAGCCAAATTGCCACCATTTTCTTTTACTAGATTTATTATCATTATGCAATGTCACCTTCATAAATATTTTTAAAGTTTATTTCCGTCTTATCTTTTTCTTTTTTATTGATGACAGAAGGGGAGAAACGAATATGATTTTGATATATCTTTATCCCATAATAAATCTTAAACATGCTATATTCTTACGCCTTAACTTTTTTTTGGAGATTTATTAACCAGGAAATTGTATTTATGTTGTTAAGCTTATCAACTAGACAATCAGATTTCTTAGTGATAATAACCTAGCACTGAATCACTCATGATAACCAGGAGAACGTTTATTATCATGCTAATTATTTTTTTCGAAATGTCAAAAATTTTCTAAACTTAATCCCAAGGGGAGCTTACAAACCTCATTCTAAAAAAGTTAAGAATAATTTTGACAGTGTAAAACTCACGGGGAGCTTATAAACCTAACTCTGAAGTTTTAAAGTTTTTGTTTATCCACGTAATAATTGTTCATCAAAATACATGGATTTGTCATCATAAAAAAGGGGGAGATTGTTGGAACAAGTATGGTTCTGCAACTATCCTTGAGTTTTGATGATAAAAAAACATATATGTATAGAGAACAATTTAGACTCTAATAATTTTGTTAAGTGCACAGATAAAAGAAAATCAATTCTAATTCTGAAGAAGTCAACTCTGGTATCCTCTTAGACAACGGTTCTGATGAACATGTGTGCTAAAGATTCTAACTGTGACCCTGATAGAAGATCCACTTAAGGTTTATCAAGCTCTCAAAATTCTGAAGACCATGATATATCCATTTGATCATAATCAAGTTGGTGCAGACTCTTCATCAACCATATACTTGCATTCACCTCAGTGTCTCTGTCAGCATCCTGGATTTCCTTTTATGCATCCCAAATATATTCACCAACCCTTTGCACAGGTATAGGACACTACTAAATCTCCTATTTTTTATATAAAAAAAACTCCCATTTGTGATTGATCAAGTCCTAAACTATGTTTTATCAAGGTGCATAATTTTCATGTTACTTAGGCATGCAGGCCGAGTTTGGTTGGAATGGATTTGTGTATTTCTTAAAAAACCAACTCAAACAATGATCCATTAATCTAATCTCGGTTTACAACGGATGCTTTTTGCATCTTCTATGAGCTACATGACTATGTTTCTCTTGTGGATATTTGGTATTTTGTGAGGAGATTTTATAGCTTACCTCTTATACAAAACACTACATGATGAACACCTCTACATGTACTCTGTTGGAAAAGTTCTCCAGCAAAATCTGATGAGTTACTTTCTCCGGCAGCCTTTCTTATTGACGAGTCTTATCTATTGATGTTGGTACATTGAAGAATGCCATGCTGAGCTAACTGAGCAATGTTTATGCACAGTCGGAACTATTTTTTTTGGCAAGGTCTTCTCGACGAATGAGTGTACCAATTTTATTTCATATCTACTCTCTAATTTCATATCTCATATCTCCATATGTCATTCATTTTTACATATCTCAAATTTCTACTCTTAAATTCCATCATTGATAACTACCCTACTTTGAAATTAGATATTCATTTTGCGTGAATGTTAATCTCGAGATTAACTCTAAGTAGATGTTATATGTAGAATTATCATTAACAACTATACGAGTAACTTGTATCTATAAGGACAAATCACATGTTAATTGATATATAATTTATTTAGATTTACTTGCAAATAACATTCCTAAACTATTGCATTAGTGGGTTCAGGCCCGATCCATTTCTCTAAAAATAATAAGAGATGGATTTTGTAACATCTGCTTCCTGCTCTGAAGTGATTGTTTGGACTAACATTTCTATTAGGACCATGAGAAACTTCACTCAATTTGTTTTTCCATGTATGCAAGTAGGTTAATAGTAAAGTACGTCAGAGATGGCTTAATGATGATGAGTTCGTCGTGTCAACAATGCTTGAAGTGGCATATATTGAGGAAGAAGGAAAGACAACATCAGAAGAGAAGGACTATTCTAAACTAGCATCTGTCATGAATAAAAATTGCGATCTGCGAAGGTAACTTTTTTTTTCCTGTTTCATTATAGGTAGATACTGTTGGATCATTTGATTTATGTGAGCTGATAGCATTCAAAAGTAAAATAAATCCATTCTAATTATGCAACATGTCTACTTGCAAGTGCATTCTACTTTTGTTATTATTAGAATGGAAAAATTTACCTTTTTTGCTCCATGTTTTGTTGATTGGATGTTAAATTATAAGCAATGTGTCCTTATTAGTAAGGCTTCATTGAAGCATGACTAAGATAAGTCTGCAATGTGTAAGTAATGTTAATATTACAATGATGGTTTCTTATTTAATTTCCCTTTTACTTACATCAGATGGTAAGAAGTTAGCTACTGCAGCAACACAATTGGAGATTTTTAACTGTTGTAACAAAAAATTGAAAAACTCGTTGATCATCTTATAAGTTTCATGTGATTTTGCTTTTTATATTTTATGGTCATACCTCATTATTTTCCTGTTTACTAATTATTTTTAGTTTAATTATTAGGAATCTGTCTGGTGTATGATCTCACCGAAGATGGCAAGTATATTATTTTGAATCCCGCTCCTGCAAGATATGTTGTTGTTTGGAAATTAGATGTTGCTAACAAGCAGTCAGCCAGTTGTGTTCTTGCAATGGAGCACTTTGTTGTATTTCTTGATAACAGGTGCATTGATAAAGGAGAACATGTTGAGGATGTGTTCGTTATTTATGGTTTGAAAATAGTATTGAAGAATTTAAAAACGTAAAACCCACTAAAATATCATTATTATTGGAAGATATATCCCCAAATATTTTCATATCCCATATCTATTATTTGATTAATTGGTTAATTTGGGAGTCAATGTATTTCCCAAATATTTTCATATCCCATTTCTAGCACACTTTTAAATTCATCTAAATAAATTTCTTCTAATAATAGATAAATATATTGAAAAAGTGTATTAGATGATATAATTATAGTATTCATATTTGAATAACAAAGAAGATCTAGATTTATATGCATGATTTTTTTCCAAGTAAAAGTGCTTTCAAAATATTTTCACATAAGTTCTTAAATTATATAATTAAACGACTATCATCCAGTACTTCATGATATTGTATCCATGACAACTTTCCTGAATCCCACCAATGCAATAGTTTAGAAATTTTATTTGCAAGTACATCTAAATAAATAGTATATCAGTTAAAATTAATCGACTCGTGCGGACGCACAGGTTTTTTACTAGTTTACATGCAATAAAAACAAGATTTTTGAGCTAATAGTTAAATCTCAAACTGAATCTATTTTACCCAAAAATTATCAGATTTTTAAACTTATGTTGTAATCATTCATCAAGAGTGATCCAATTTATAACAAAAGTAAAAGAATATAACAATCTACCGAGCATAACAAATGCTTGAAATAAGTGAAAATGAAAAATAGACTTTCAAAATAAAAATGATAAAAGAAAGATTCATATGATCATATTGCTTGGCTAATTGTCTTTATTTACTATAATATAACAATTTTCGCATCTGTAATAACCTATAAGTCACTTTGCAAGCAATAGAAGTTCTAACAACTATTATTTATAAATATTGTTCTTAAATAAAAAAAGTACAACTAATTGTTTGTTGCTCCAATGGAAAACATATTTTTGTTATAAATTCCTATCCGACCTCTACGATTAACTTGCCCTGGTTTGAAACCAAGGTGCTTAATCGTGTTGGTTTTTAAATTAAACCAAACTAATTCAGAGTCTTCTTTTCTGAAGAATATTTCACCTTTCTTTCCTACTCCGATAGGAATTTCAAACCAAGGGAGTGGTCCAACGGTGAAGAGTTTGTACCATGATTCCTTGACACCAAATTCACCTAAAATTAATATATCAAAGATAGATATGTTAAAAGTAGGCATATTTTGATGATGTTTGAACAAAGCAATCGAGTCATTTATGACCGACAGTCCCATCCACTGCTCTCTGGCGAATGGGGGAATGGGTGTGTTAATGAACACCTCATTTCTCAAGTCAAAGGATATTAAAGATGCCCCAACATGATTATTTTCTTTATCCAAATTTAACCAATGACATACTCCATCAAGGTATACTCGAAAAGTTCCAAAACCAGAATTGTGCTTAGCACAACTAGGCATATCAATATCTAGCTTTTTCCAAGAGTTGGTTTTTAAGCTATAAGTCTCCCAAAAGGGCTTCAATGATTTATCTTGCCCTAATAATAAATCTCTATCAGATGGCCAAAAAGTGTGGAACTTACAACTAACAGATGTATTACGAATCAACTTATAGTCATCTCCAACACAGTCATAACCAAATCCATGAAGATTAGGATTAGTAACAAAAATAACTGGAGCATCAAAATTAAGGGTAACAGGTGGGGAAAATGACTCAAAAGGGCTTATACAAATGATCTTCAATTCATTTGTAGTTGGGATCCACAATACAATTTTGTTATCAGAGGGTTCTTCAAAACAAAGTATGCCATTAGCACAACCAAAACCAAAAAATTTGAAGTGGTCGATTTGTTCTGGCAAATCTAGCACTACCATATTCTCAAAACGCTCCCCAGAAAGAGAACACAATGTCTCGTGATCATGAAGATGTAGGATAAGAGATGTATCATCTTCATAAGAATATTTAGAGAAGAAATTGTGGCGATACAAACTCATAAAATTAGGTTTGTCAGATAAAAGAGACCATGACTTACGCACGCATTCAAATCGTTTTAAAGATTTCCAAGGGAGTTTTGATAAGATGGATAATGCAACATCGTCACTTATATAACCGCTCACCTTATCATCGGTGACACCCACATATTTCTCCATCTGTCAAATAAGTTTTGAAAACAAAAAAGAGTAAATTTGTGAACAAGCGAATAGAAAACTCTCAAAGCATAAATGTGACTCAAAATAAATATTCAAACTAAAAATTACATGAATTTAACTATTATCGACATTGTAACCAATTGAAAAATTAAAGAAAAAAACATTTGAATAAATGAAACAATAGAGACAACGTCTATAAATGTGACAACACAAATGAAAAGATTGAGATTAAAATAGCGTACCAAATTCGTAGATCTCTCTCTCTTCTCTTCTGCAGAAAAGTAACAAATATAAGATTGAAGCTGAAGTTAATAAACAATTTGAGCTTATGGAACAAAGGTTATAAAGAAGAGTATTTATAAGGAAAAATATTGGAGATTGAAAATTAAAAGATCAAAATACACAATTTTTTTAAGATAAATTTTTACACATTTCTTCTAGATAAATTTGAATGAACCTTAATTAAGAAGCAAATTGGGTCAATAAAAAAGAATAATTGTAGTTGTTCCGACAAGGATTTTATTTTCTCTATCTATATTTCACTCAATCTTTTTTAAATTTAAATTTTTATAATTTAATTAATCAAATGATAAAATAACAAAAGTCAATATACTAATAAAAATATCTTTGAATAAAATATCTTTAAAAATGAAAAATATCTTTATAAATAAACTAATTAATTAAAAAAACTTATTTTTTGACCAACATATAAATAAAATACAAAATAACCTAATTTTTCCTCTAAAATACAATAAAAATTTAGTATATATTAATTGATTGATTATTTTCCGTATCTAAAGCATTCAAATATCTAATTTTTTATAATAAAAAAAAATTAATAAGAAAAATTAAATAGAAAGCTATTTTTTCAATATAAAAAGATTATTCAAAGATCTATTTTTTTTACTAAAAAATATTTAACAATACTAATTTATTAAAATATTATTCTTTTAAATATATAAAGCATACTCAAAGATTTAATTTTTTATAAAAAAATTAATATTGCTAATTTATTTATTTTCAATATATAATGTGTACAAATTATTCTATCTCTACTACAAATAATACATTTCATGATAAAACTTTCATCCAACTCAACAAAAAATCGAGGTATAATTCCAGGACGCGTTATGTTTTATTTTTTAATTTTTAAATACATTCTATTGCCTCAGTTTTTTAATATAACCGAGGAGAAAACTAACTCCAGACATGCTTCGAATCCCAACAAAATCAGTTTATGTTATTATTTCTTTAAAAATGGTGTCTTTCTTTTTATTTTATTTTTTACTTGTAAATTAATTATCTATATCTTCGGTTTCTTTAATAACTGAGAGGTTAGATAATCAAATTTTACTAAAAAACATATTAACTAAGTTTTATTATAAAACTAACTCATCTATAGCCACTTCAAACTCGTACCCATCATCCTTTGGGTATTTTTAATTTAAAATATAAACATATTGAAATTAAACCCCATTTTACAAGAGATTATGTTCAGAAGGGATTTTTTAATTTTAATTTATAGATAGAGACCATCAATGGATTGTTATCTTCACAAAACTCCTTTCTAGAGATAGATTCATTTTTATTTTAAAAAAAATTTAAAAATGAATTTTTTTTTCGAGAATAAAACCACAATGTGCGTACCTTCTGGAGAAATTTTCTTGTGCTCCAATTGACAAAAGAGAGATAAATTTTCTTAGTCTTCAAGCACATCTCCCTAGATTTGACTGCAACTGATTCTCTCATATGCTCGTAACAAGATTGGACCATCTCGAAATTTAAAGAGATGTTATCGATCATTATAGCCAAATTGCCACCATTTTCTTTTACTAGATTTATTATCATTATGCAATGTCACCTTCATAAATATTTTTAAAGTTTATTTTCGTCTTATCTTATTCTTTTTTATTGATGACAGAAGGGGAGAAACGAATATGATTTTGATATATGTTTATCCCATAATAAATCTTAAACGTGCTATATTCTTACGCCTTAACTTTTTTTTGCAGATTTATTAACCAGGAAATTGGATTTATGTTGTTAAGCTTATCAACTAGACAATCAGATTTCTTAGTTATAATAACCTAGCACTGAATCACTCATGATAACCAGGAGAATGTTTATTATCATGCTAATTATTTTTTTCGAAATGTCAAAATTTTTCTAAACTTAATCCCAAGGGGAGCTTACAAACCTCATTCTAAAGAAGTTAAGAATAATTTTGACAGTGTAAAACTCACGGGGAGCTTATAAACCTAACTCTGAAGTTTTAAAATTTTTGTTTATCCACGTAATAATTGTTCATCAAAATACATGGATTTGTCATCATAAAAAAGGGGGAGATTGTTGGAACAAGTGTGGTTCTGCAACTATCCTTGAGTTTTGATAATAAAAAAAATAACATATATGTATAGAGAACAATTTAGACTCTAATAATTTTGTTGAGTGCACAGATAAAAGAAAATCAATTTTAATTCTGAAGAAGTCAACTCTGGTATCCTCTTAGACAACGGTTCTGATGAACATGTGTGCTAAAGATTCTGACTGTGACCCTGATAAAAGATCCACTTAAGGTTTATCAAGCTCTCAAAATTCTGAAGAACAAATTCTGAAGACTCTAAAGACTAGGTTTTGAGGAACTGTTTCAAGACTCTAAAGACAAGGTTCTGAAGCTTCGTTCAACCAGACTCTTAAACATACTTTAACAACATTTACTCAAAAGCCTTTAAAGATTAGAATATCATATTAAAAGGTTTTACATGTGAAAAATAATACACATTATATGATCAAATCTTCCTTCTACTACACTAATTTTGTGGAGTAAGAACTGTACTATTGTACCATTTCGTTTCCTAACTTTGTAGACCATTATGCAAGGTGACAACACATTTTTGAAGATTTCTATTTTATCCTCCAACGGATCTTTTCATTTCCTATATAAAGAAGACTTAGAAGAATGAATGTAGCTTCTAATTCGCGCGAGACTAAGTTATTCTCGCTACAACACAACGCTTTTGTTGAACATATTATTATTAGTATGAATAGAAAACGCACATAGAACTTTTGTTTGTTTTTTTGAGATTATTTCATTGTACTTAAACCTTGTGTAATCTGCTTTCTTAGAAGCAACTTTATAAACATATTTCTTGTATCTCATTGTTTGAGGTTGTATTCCTTGAGATACTAGGGTTTAGTCATGATTCTCGAGAAGATAGTGACAGATAGTCATTGTGTGTCTGTAATTAGTTAATTATAATGGATTAAGTCCTTGTTGATAAAGCAAAATCATCTTTGCGAGTGGACTAGATTAGCTTGGTTAACAGTGAACCAGTATAAAAATAATTGTGTTCATTTATTTTTACTCTTGGTTCTACTTTGAGTGTTTTGGGTACAAAAAAGTTTTATCTTAGAAACCTAATTCAAACCTCCATTAATTGTGTTTCCTTCCACCTGAAGCTCATAACCTACAGAAAGAGGAAGGCATACATTCCTAATCCTAAATCCAAAAGAGGAAGGATATGTGGAATCTTGAAGAAACCAAAGAGACAAGCTCACTGGTACTAGGAAGACTGATGTCTTCCTTTGATGAACTGATGCTTCAAATTTGTGGCTTCATCTCTGAAATTTATCTAGTTATCTTTAGAAGTCTGAGAAGACTTCTGATGGTGTAAGAACAATGTTTTTGGAACAAGAAAGTTGCCCTTGTACAATCTCAAAAGTTGATAGTACTACTTGTAAGGTAAGTTTATCTCTGTTTTTACTAAACAGTCTCTAATCCCAACATTTGCTAAATGTTTGTTATAAGATCTACATATTTATGAAAGATGAATTACACTTTACAATGATAATTTTACTTCTAGCAGTGGGGAGTAAAATCTTATGTATATCAGAGTCTGATGAGGTTCAGAAGCTACCTTGATCAGAATGCTCTGAGTTAGCTTTTGATATATACATAGCCTTTAAAGCACCTCATCTTCTGTTATCATGAATAGGGTTAACCTCCTCTGATATGCACACTAGTGAACATCCTCTAGTAATTGTCTCAGGCATTTATCCTCTTACGTGTAATAAATTTGAAACGTCTTTTGACACGTAGATTATAACTATTGAGCAAAAAATCCTCTATTCCTGGTATTTTTCATTTACTTCTTGGTTGTTTATTTCTTTCACATTTATGTTGTTTGTTGGTTGAAATTCCTTTCATTCAAAAACACCTTATCATAAACACACACTTCACTTCTCACTACCTACACTTTGCCTTTTTTTTAACCTTCTCTGGAAAAAAAAAAACCTTTTTAAAGAAAAAACCCTAGAAACCCTAATAACTCTCCTCAACAATGGTGTCATCACCCAATGATCAACAGGCAGACATGACAATCGACTCTAGAAAAAGTATCACCATCAAACCTAAGACCATGACTTTGAATCAAGATGATATAAAGTTGTTGGTGGAACAAATAGTTAATTTTGAGTCCTTTAGTCAAAATGATTATGATATGTGGAGTTTCTTCGGAATTCAAGAGTGGGAAGCTATCTTTGAAATGCTAAATGGAGTAACCTATCCTCATCTTGTAAAGGATTTATGGGTTAGGACAGAAGTATTTGATGAACTTGTTGCATCTGAGGAACTTAGACTCTTGGTAGCGAAGAACAATTATTTGAAAGGGAAGAGTAAAGAAGAAGTTGGTTTGAAGAAGTTTCAAGAAGTTGAGATTAGGTCTTCTATTATGGGTATTGATATGGTCATCACTCAAAAAACCATTGCCAAACTTTGAGATCCCCAAAATCTAAAAGGTTTGTGATGGGTACCAAAAACAATAGTCCTGAAGCAGATGAAATTAAATGGAGTCTATTTAAGAATATTGATAAATCGTGTTCGTCTGACTTTGGAAAAGTCAAGAACTTAAAGGATAAATTTAGGATTTTGTTCAAGGTTCTTATTAGTTGTCTGATTCCTAGAGAAGGAAACACTTATCAGATCTCATGGGATCAAAAAC